ACTTGAAACTCTTAGTTTCATGATTTTTAATTTGTTCAGTTGCACTTACCGCGAATCCTTCATCAACAGGAATGAAAAATGTATGTCCTCCTTCAGTCCTGAAAATGCTTTCCCTCTTGTATTGCTGCACCTTTTGGCGAAAGTTTCTACGTTTTCCAAAAAAAAGGACGATATGAGACAATTATCGATAGCTAATGGACAAATACGAACAAAAACATTATTAACTGGAATAGTTCGAGAACTATTCAACATAGTTTCTTCCGGGGTTAAAAAGTCGATTTAAAAACCAATTTCGGCATTTTTTCCACATACAGTGTGTCTCTCCAAAAAAGTACATTGGACCGAAATTGTTTCCGAAACTATTGAATCGTACAATATTTTAAACGATTGTAAACAGCATTAATAAATACAATCACATATTTATCGAAAGAATCCAAAGTTCAAAATATCTTCTTATGACCCAAGCCAAGTCAAACTATCCCAAACTACTTATTTTGCAAAATAGAGGATTAGAAATTGGTGGTTGGGAAATTTCGAGGAGAAAATGGTTTTAACGACCGCCTAAAAGCCCGAAAAACGTACTATTTTCAATTTTCAGAAGTGTTTAAGGATGGCATTATTTATTGGACAGTCAACTTACGAAAAATGTGATTTTTTTAAGTCATCCAAAAAGGTCATATTCGATTACAAGCTGGACGTAATTTATTTTGGATGCTTACGAAACCAAGCATCATTAAGCACAAAATTAATGCTCTTCTTTGCGGCAATTTTCAATAATTCCAGTTTATTCCATTTCCAAGCGCATGATGGCACAAACACCCTGTATACGTACGTAAAAAGCAAGTTTTCCTTGAAAAACTTCAAATGAAACTTTGCCGCATTTTTAACAATATTAATGAACATTTTTCTCTTGCCTCACTCTATGCGTTCCCTGGATCAAAGACTCGTAATTCTCGAGAAACTCCCAAGCGTTTGGGTTAAAAACTTGAGCTCTTGAAGTGGCACTCGACCTGGTAGGCACCAGCACCTCATCAATTTTATGGAGTATCTGGAAAATGGGGAAAAAATCAGATTTCCCTGCACATATTTAAATAAATGCGCCATAATTCAGGATGCAAAATCATTCACCTGGTGCAGTCATGCACTGAGGGCAAAAACAACTTCCAAGCTTTTTCGGGAAATAATTTGAAGAAAAACTTCACTGCTGCTTAGATTATTTGGGGTTGAGTGAATTTGCTCTTTACCTACCTGAGTAAAGGGACTTCCCCGACTCTGCGATTTAGTGCCGATTATATTCGACTGTTTAGGGAGCAGTCGTGCATTATTAATGTAAACTGCATCGTGATACAATCCAGGGCTGATCGTGATCCAAATCGGGGGACCTCCAGGCAGTCGCGTATTAATCGACGTGTAAGAAACTCCAAGTTGCTCAATTCTCTTCGGGATATTAGCTGAAAATTGTGTTAAAGTTTCGTTAAGATTTCGCGTTAAATGTTCAAGCAAAGCTGCATTCCAGCATTTTGTAAGAGTGCTCTAAACTTCAAAGTTTTGTAATGAAAAAATCGTACGTCTTAATCAAGCGTGACTGGCCTGTTCGTCAAAAAAAATAAAAAATAGGCTCGAAAACAGTAGTTTTCGATACAAGGGCGAAAAATGTCGTTAGGAGTTCGAAAAACAAATTTTCGCCCTCGTATCGAACACTATTTTTTATTCGAATGAAAAATTACACGAATTTTGAAGTTTGTAATTAAGTTTAAGTACTTTTTCAACTTGAAACACCTGCGGTCTTGGGATGGTGTATGCATGTTGCATACTCTGCATGACATTTGCGCTTCTTAAAAAGATCGCGATTTACGTGTGACAACATCGCAAAGGTAGATAAGTAGGCCATTAAAACGATTATGAGACTGAACTTGTAACAAAGGTATAATTTACAAATTGTAAGTAAACTTGAAAATAGGATCAATAGTTGTTGATAAACCTACGTAATTCCTTAAAAAAGCATTTCGGTTATTTTTAAATAAAAATACTAAAAAATGTATAATGACAGTGGCAAGTTCCAAGTGTCACATTTACTTTGTCGCACACTGTGCGGCAAAGTCCGTGCGTAAAAGTAAAACAATAAAATACATATTTATAAATACATTATTTGTAGAAAAAATACAGTCTTCTGTTATCTATGAAATTAGAAAAATTATCGTCGTTTTGTGCAAGGGTGGCGCAAGATTATTGCAAAATTTCATGTTTTC